GTCTGACACAACTCGGAAAAATCCTAATATCTCTAAAACTAATTAGATCTCAGATGCAAAATTTTTCAACTTGCTTCCCAACCACATTAGCCACCCAAAAATGCAAAAATATTTTTTTGCATATTTTTGCGAATTTTAGGGTACTGTGTAGCCTTAAAAGCCTGGAAAATTATAAATAATTTATAAATCAATTCAAATTTTCCTTACAAAGGAGACTAAAAAAAATAATGTTCGCCGAGATATTTTTCTATTAACTATTAATAAATAAAGCAATCAATCATAAATTTAATTTCTTTTAATTCTCTGAACTTGGTTGCTTAGCAACGGAGTAAAATCAGGTATTGTTCTCTTGAATCAGTCTACAGTTATCTTAAATTACTCATTTGCGGCAATGACATTGTTTGGCCGTTTTTTTTCTTCATTTATTTCTTTGGAACTATTGCCAAATATATATAGTTTCCTAGCTCCCTAATTTATGATCCAATCTTATCGAAATTTCGTCTACCCCTTCCCCCACTATTTTGTGTGTCAGTAATCCAAATATGTAAAATATATATATATCGCTCATGGGCTGCAATAGTGGCACAACTAAAAAAACACGCGTTTTGGACTAAGAACAGGTGTAAATATAAAAATACACATTCGTTCAGCAGCAATACTAGCACAACTATATTATATATTTTTTATTTCGCGCACTGTACGTTTGGGGCATCTATCCGTTGTTCTCATCCTAATTCGCATCTTCTACTGATCGGCCATATGTTGGAGACTTCTTTTTCGAGTTGTCACTCAAATTTTAATAATGCAATGCATTGTCAAAAATATATCGTGATATTTTCCTTAATAATCAGAATTCTACGTTGGTATCAATATTTTTGTTACCCCAATAAAAGGTAGCCGCGTTCATATTATTATTATTGTAACAATAATTATTATCTTTTTCTTTTTAATACTCACAATATTATCGGAAGCCGTTGACGTGCTTAAATCAGAACCTGGTGTTATTGTTGACGATCTTGGTTTCATAGCAATAACCGATAAGCACAAATTTTCTTTTTTGTAAAGTTTATGAAATTTTCATTTAAAGGATAAGAATATAAAGTTTGAGAATTTAAAGTTATTGATTTAAGATGATGTGAAAAATTTATTATTAATAATAATTGGGATTAAAATGTTTTAGTATTAAATTTAATAAAATTAAAATCCTTGAAATTGAAATGCCGCTCGGACGAATAGAAATAAGTAAATTTAATTTTTAACATTGCCACTGATGGTGAAATATAATACTTCTCCAATTTTCGATCGTTTATGTTAGCCTGCATGTTTGTTTCTAGCACGCTTTACTTCTGCACTTAAACAATAAGTTTAGCGAGCTTTATGGATATTTAATTTTTTCTAGTAGTTTCTTTTAAATTTATTATTTTTCATCAATAATTTTTTACATTTTAATTCTTTTCATCAATGAAATTTCGTATTTTCGATACTGTGTCAGAACCACGTGACGTCGGAAAGAGTTGTTAACAAACCACCCTTTAAAAATTTGCAACCTGCTAGAAAAATAAAAAGAAGAAAGGAAAAAAAAAACGATTTAAATTGGAACTTCCTTTATCGAACATACAAACATACAGGCTTTTACAGATATACTTCAAAAGCTTATAGACTCTAATATTATATATACAGTATAATTATACTATATTTACAGTACAATTACACAGTACAAGTTTGAATAAAAATTTAATTCACTCTACCATCAGACTTAGAATCATTTTTTAAAATTTTAGTTTGGTACGCGAATCGTTTATTTTTAAGGGGCCTTTAACGTCAAAATCATGAAAAATTAAATAAACTTGATAATATGATAATTTCGTTTGCTTCAAAAAAATAAAATTTTAGAAAAAAATCTTGTAAAAAAATGTAAGATAAATTAAATTCAAATTGTTTTTTTTTTTTAATTTGCAAACAAATTTGAATTGCAGAACTTAAGTAAAATAAAAATTATCATTCAAATATTACTCGTTTTAAGAAAAACAAAAAATAAGACGTTTTAAAGAGCGATTTTTAAACCTCTTTTGATTTTTTTAAAAAGAGCTGCACCGCCTTAAATAAAAATGCGTTTTATTCTTTTTTTTAACTTTTCAATTTTATTTCAACTTTACACCTGCGATGTTAAGATTAACCAGCTCTAATACCACTGCTTGTATTCCCATATTTTCATGTATGCAATTTTTTCAAAAAAGCTGCAAATGATTTCATCAAAGAACTTACAATTAAGAAAGTTTGCCCTATTAATCAAATATTTTTGTAACAATCTTTCTTATCCGCTCCTCCCTGTGAATAAATTTATTAACTAAATTAATTCAAAGCAAGTTGCTAAAATGGGAAAATATTGAAGAATTTATTCTTTTGTGAAGAATATATTTAAAAAGAGTGAGAAAAAAAAGAAAATACAGCGCAAATAAAAGAAGAAGCAAAGGTCGCCATATTTCGCTTACTACATTTTAGCACTAAAATTAAAAAAAAAAAAAAAGATGGATTAATAATGCGTACCATATTTATAATATATAAATGTGATCATCATATTATTAATAATAGTACCATAATTTATTGAAAACAAGGAAGATAAAGTACAATCTTCCTGCTACTACAGATTCTCTAAATATTTTTTTAAACTTAAATAAGTCAGTTTCATCAAGTTCAAATGTTTATTTCTTTGCGTTTCTGAAATCAACATCAAACTACAAGATGCGTTTCTAAGTTGTTCAGCAACAAAAAATATGACAATTATAAATAATTTATGATTAATGATTTGTTAACATTGTTCAACAAATCAATTTTATAGGGCATATTAAAGATAATTTTGTTCTTTGTCTAAATTAAAATTATTTCTTTAAAACTATGTCCAAGAATTCCCCTCCCCCAACTATTTTCTAAGTAACTTTGGAAACTAATTATCTTCTGAAGTTTGTTAACGAAAAAAATAAAACACATACCGTTTAGAAAAATGAAACTAATCTAAGTAGAAACTAAGACTCGTATAAGATTTAATTCAAACATGAAGATTTTTAAAATGACAACAATGCAAGCAATATTACAACCTATTTATTTTAAATTATGAGTAACAGAATTGAAAGTTTCATTCCCGAAGGGTCTTCGCCTATTCACTTTGAAACGTTGCTTTTAAGGTTGAATGCAAAATAGTATCCGATATAGTTTTGTTCATGAAAGAAATTAAGAGAATTTGCAGACTTGGTCGATTATCTCTAGAATTACTGTTCCGATTTTAATGACAATTGCGATGCACGCGCATGATCGTGCGTATCACTCGTTGGAGTCGGAAGGTATGAAACAGCGGTTGCAGAATAAACAACAAAAAAATGGATTAATAGGGGGTATGGTCCCCTCTTACAGATATGCAGCGTGAGTTCATACTTGAAATAAGGCAGTTTATCATTTCCTGTGGCAATTGGCCTGAGTAGTCTTGTGGCAATTTCATAACTTCCGACTCCAACGAGTGATACGCACGATCATGCGCGTGCATCGCAATTAATTGCTTTGTATTATGTCAATGTGTGTACACATCAAATTTCATTCAAATCGGTTAAGCAGTTCTAGAGATAATCGACCAAGTCTGCAAATTCTCTTAATTTCTTATATCAGTGTATTTGTATAACTGAACAGAGAAAACATCTAACACGTGTTCAGATTCAACTCTAACTGATTGCTAATGCAAGTTATTGAAAATCTTAAATATGTTTTTCCAAATATCAGTCGTTCATACCATCAACGGACGACTGATCTTCAGCTAAGTCACTTCTATAAGTCCTTTTTCATTAAAATCGGCCTAGTAGTTCCAGAGATAATTGACCAAGTATGCAAATTCTCTTAACTTCTTACGACTGATCTTCAGCTAAGTCACTTCTATAAGTCTTTTTATAGAGACTTTAGAGAATAATTATCTTCCGACTCCAACGAGTGTTATGCACGATAATGAGCGTGCATTGCAATTGTTGAACGGTTAATTGTTTTGTATTGCATCAATGTATGTACATATCAAATTTCATTAAAATCGGCCTATTAGTTCCAGAGATAATTGACCAAGTATGCAAATTCTCTTAACTTCTTACATCTGCGTAGCTAGATCACTACTCTAGATAAGTTGTAAGCAGTAAAGTAACAGATAATGATCTGTATAGATGAACAAATAAAAAATGAAATCTATTATATGAATTTAAAAGAATGACGTCACTGCAGAAGGAGACTTTTGCTCTAATTTTTTCTACAGGAAAATTTTTAGTTTTAAATATTTATTGAAATTAACCGCATTGCACATTATTGCTTCATAGAAGAAGTGATTATTAATTTTTATAAAATGAAAGTTTCGTTCACAGTCAATACTTTATTCTTAAACCAAAGTTTAAAAATTAAATGGTATTATATTTAACTCGTATAGTGCACTAACTCTTTGCATTTACACCATGCTCTCCTAACTCGGGATTCATAACATATACACTAATTACCAGTCCAAAGTTTGGATAAAGTGTGAAAGGAAGTTGCCTAAAATACATTGCTAAATCCGCTCTGGATTCAGTTATTTCGACGTCCAACTATTCAATTGATAATTTAGATTTAATAGTGGATTAATATAATATTACTAATTATATATATATATATATATGAATGCGCGTGTTAGTAAATTAACATGTTTAAATTAAAGATGTCAAACAAATTATTCGGATTTTTCATCAACCGAATTGCACTCGTTCCCGACCGGTCTGGATAATCCGTGTTCTACAGTATAGGAACTAGTAACCTATAGCACGTACTTATAATTCCTCGCAACGACTCTGTATAAAACTATTACTATATCTATATTATATCTATACCATATTTATATTATTACCACATTTACGAAATTAACTTTAGATATTTGTGAGAAAATCGGATGCGACCTACTTTCTAAATACAAAATAAAGAGAAAGAAGAAAAAGACATAAATGAAGTAAATTATAAATGATAAAAATTTATTAATCCATCACATCTTTCTATCAAGGGAAACAACTTATAAATAATAGACAAAATTGTGAAATTCAAGCTCATATGTCTATGAATTTCTAGAAAGAATGAGCAGTAAGTGATTTATATAATAAAAATGTACAGGTACATTTCATGCAAAATACATAAGCAACAATTAAAATGCAATTCACATGAAATAAAATACAAACTTTGAACAAATAAATCAATTTAGAAAATAAGTATTTACCCATATACGAAACATAAATCTAGAAAACATCTTCAATGAAAAATAAAATTTGTATTATATTTTTAGTTAGTATAGGTGGATACTTATAAAATAAAAGGTTGGCAAAGTGCAAATAACGTTTTTCTGTTGCTGCAGAGTTATTTTTATACAGTCACGAATATATTAAACACAAAATTTGTAATTAAATAAAAACATCAATATCCAAATACACTATTTGTTGAAAATGACTATGAATTAAGACTAATTAAAATGATTATTAGCGGAAAAAAAGATTTTAAAAATATTCTTTTAGTTTTTGTTACGTAATATATTAAAGGAATACGAATAGAAAAAGTATGTTTCCACTACATATGAAATCTATATACAAGGTAAATCTAAACTTAGGAAACAAACTGACTGATATCACAAAGGTTTTAAAATAGTATTAGAAGTTAAAGTTTTGTGCCTGCATTGAAACAGCATTAACAGCCTTTAAAATACTTCATAACATGATTCATTACACAAATGCATATATATAGAATATATGTATAAAAAAATACATATTTCAAGGCACTGCAAGGAAATTTAAGGCACGATTGTTACAGTCAAAAATTTATTAACACTGAAATAAAAGGAGAGGAATACTTAAGGCTTTTATTAGTTTTCTAATGTACTCATTAGGAAATTGTAAAAGTTTTCTCGAATAAACTTTGAATTTCGGATATTAACCATTATCCTTAAAGTAAAAGTCCCTTTTCACTGTGCGTACATGCCCTGCGCAATAAGACTCTTAATTGGGATGTTTTTATTAATCAATTTATACTAGGCGTTATCTAAACGTAAAATTTCGATGTACATTGCCAAGCATTTATCTTAAGTAAATATTATAAAAGTTCGGACAAGCAATCATAGCTCAATAATTTAAAGGTCAAAATTAAGATCTGAGACAAAAAATCGTGATTTTTTTTTTTTCTTTTCCTTATTATATAATTCTATCCCAAAGTATATATAAAGTCGAAAAATTACATCCTAGTCAAAATTTTATGAACACTAAACTTAATAAATTTTATTTGCTAAAAATATTTTTTGAAGAGAACCGAATGCATAAAACGATAACTGATTTAAATAAATATGTTTTCAGTCAATTTAATTTTTTAAATTTGTTTTTAACTCAAATGTTTAAATTATTAACTTTTTCTTTTCTCTCACAACGTAAATCAAAAATACACATCTAGAAAATTCAATTCAATTAAAAAAATTTTTTAAAGATATTTCCGTATTAAATCGTACAAACTTACAATGCTTAGAAGCCAAAATTCGACTGACAGACACTTCGAACTTGAAATAAATTTTTTAAAGAAAACTAATGGCTTGAGTTTTTCGAGTTATTCCTTTACCCTCTTTTAAATTACTACTTTAGCGCATGATCCGACACGCACATCTTATTTTAAATAATCAATTACTTCCATACTTTTAACACTAATCCAATGATACACAGAAAAACAAATATGAACACATTTAAACACGCAAATAATAAAACATCAAAGACATACAAATCTTTGGCACACAAAATAAAAATAAATATTGTTTAAATTTTTTCAGAAAGTATTATATACATGAATGACAAGAGCACACTAAATGTAATGACAAGACTAATGAAAGACTGGCTTATGAAAATATCCCATGTATTTAACACATAAAATTTTTCTACGAAATTTTCAAATTTTGTATATAAGGCACATTATTAAAATTGAGGAGTTGAAAACTTGCTAGCTAGTTAAAAGTTTTAACTACGACAAAAGTTTAGAAATTAATTAAATAAGAAAAACATTTAGAAACAAGATACCTCAATTTTATTAAGTATTAAAACTCTACTCTATGTATTAAACACGTGAAAGGCACATTTCAAGATTTTTTATTGTAAGTTGAACTAATAGCTAATACGTTTACCAATCAATTTTTCGGAAAGCACTTATATACTCCAAATGATCCATTTAAAATATATTATTCTTTCTTTCTTGCGTTCCACACGGAAGCACGATTGCATACATAATTTATTTTAAAAATATTTCTAGTATGAAAAAGTTCTGTTTAGCATTAAAAACATTTTCAAACAAAAACAATAAAGAGTAATTTGAAGCATGTATGACTTGATTTACTTAAAAAGTAACTTTTTTCTAATCCCATTTTTGGAGGTAAGAAGAAAATAATTCATACATTTTAGAAGTATTAAGAAAAGCAAGTTTTGCCTTCAATTAGCTAGAGTTATAAAAGTATAAATAAGAAAAAGTGATTCGACAAAATATATCTAAGGAATAGCTATGTACAAAAGAAGAAAAAAAATTTTTTTTTCCTTAACTATAAAATTATATACATAGCTATTTCAAGAGAAGAATAACATATTTCAGTTCATTTTTTTCAATATACAACTAGTCTTACATACTAAGCTAAATTAAATTCTGTTTCGGCATTAAAGATCTAACTTTAATACTGTAAAAACGTTTTTAACCCGTAATAACTAAACTTAAATCAACTATTATGATGTATGAAATCAGTTGATTCATAGACAACAAATTCATAGCTATTTCTTAATTGCATTTATTAATGTCTAAAAAATGTCGCGTAGAATGAAAATACGAATTTTATAAGATTATAAATAAGTAAAAATATTAATTGGTTTTTGATGATGTTTAAATGAATGGTAACATCTAGTATTCCCAAATTTGGGCAAAAATCGGTAGTCTATGAAAATTTTTTTTAGTTATTCAGGATTAAAATAAATAATTAAGTTATTACTTCGACGATAATATATTAAATTATATGTACGGATCACAAAATTGAAGTTCCAGCTTCATATACAAAACAAAACTATTTATTAGCTGTAATATTTAATAGTTAATTCTTTTTTATTTAAACCTTTTTAATGGAAGCTCTTTACTGGGTTGCTTTTCATACTTCCTTTTCATTGGAGGCAAAGGTTTAGCACATTGTCGCGTAAAAGATGTTCGACTCTTTGGACTTTCGACTTCTTTCTTAGGCTTATTTTCGGTAATTTGTACTGAAGGTGTAGAGGGAGATTCTTCAGTTTCTAGTCCCTTTCTACTGTGAACAAGTTGCACATGTCGGTTCCTTTCTAAGCTCGCGGTAAATTTCTTTTTACAAATAGGACACACTTTTTGCAGAACTTTCTTTTTCACTACTGGTCGCTTTTCGGGAGAAGATACAAAGTCATCACTGTCAGAATGGTCATATGGTATCATACTTGAAGAAAACGAAGATTCACTATCACAATAGTTAGGAAACCTGGATCTTCTCAAACGCTTGACTTTGCCAAACTGGAAGTTTGACAAACTAGAAGTGGAGGGAAGACTAGAACTAGATAGGTCTTTAATCCCTGCTTGAGGAACATTATTACTGCTATCAGTCTTGGAATGGATAGCTGAAGCCTCGGAGGCCTTGTTGCGAAAACCTTTCCGTTTTGGGGGTGTTTTAAGCGATGATATGAGCTTGGTTGTATTGTTTTCAGGCGCAGAAGTACGTTTAGATCGTTTCGGAGATTCTGAAGTCACTAAACCATCGTTGTGAGACGTTTCTGAAACATTCGAGTCACTGAAACGTTTCTTCCTCCCTTTTACTGGCTTTGAATCAGGACAGGTATTTAAATTTGGAGCTGATTTTCTACCTCTTCCACGCTTTGGAATAGATGACGTGGAAAGAATTTGTTCCCTTTCAGCAACAGAAGCTCCACTTACTGTGTTTGGTTGAATATCACTTTTTGATTGTTCACAGGTGAAAGCATTGGAGTCATGACTGGAAGAGCGAGACAAATAGCTGTCCGGACTAACTTTGGCCTCAAGATCCTCCTCTTTTACTTCATTGTTTGAAGGTCCAGGAACTGGACATTTTGACGTCAAAAGTCTCATTTTGTGCGAAATCGTGTCTTTCAGTTTGCTCACTACTATTTTCTTCGGGCTACAACTATCTTTTTCATCTTCGTCAACATCGACGCCTTTGTCAGTTCTTTGATCGATTGAATCAGATGACGATTCTTCTTTAAGGCAAGGAATACTTAGCATTTCTTGACGCTTCGATACTGAAGACAGATCATTTTCAGCCGATTTTTTCTTCCTACCTCTTCCCTGACCATAAACAGGGAGATCTTGAAAGAGTGGAGGATTACTACTTTTGTTCTTTTGACGGTGAACAAGTTCTTTTTGATTGGAATTTGACGTGTTCGAAATAGGAGTTTCTGAAAAAATGCTTTCGTTCAAATTCATCTCATTAGAACGACTGTCATCTTCTGACTTGACAAGTTCGGTGGTATCGGAAATTTTTTCATTACTGTCTTTTAAACAGCTATTTTCTTTTGAAATTTTACCATCATCCTCTTTACTCACGTCTTCACTCGCATTAGTTGGATTTATTTGCTCACTTTCATCTATGCCTGACTTTTCAATAGTGTCCTGCACCTTCTCAGTTCTAACAGGACAGGATTTTTGGTTTGTAACAAAAGTCTCTTCTCCACTGATCGGAACAGCTGATGTGGAATTTTGATCAATACGAATAGCATTAACATTTTCCTCACTAAAATTCTCTTCGACCAACGCAGAGATTGACCCTTCATTGTTCAATTTACTTTGATCAACGTCTTTCTGATTATTTAAATAAATTTCCTCATTTGAGAGTAAGTGAACATTGGTCAAATGTCTAACTTGTTCGAAAAGTTTCAGAAATATTTTATGGCAGTGTGGACAAGTATATGTCTGAAGTTTCTTTTGCTCTGGTGGAACGATCTCTTTCTCAACATCACTTTTCTCAACTTCTTGGATCATTTGATTTTGCCTAATTTGATGACGAAGCAGGTTTAACATAGACTCTTCAACTTCTTCTTTCTTTGGCAAATGCTGCATGAAATATGAGGACGATGTTGAAGCTTGTTCTCTACTGCATCTGATCCCCGCTTTACTTCTACACTGCCTTGTGTGCCGACGAAAATTAGTTAAATATGCGAATTCCAACATGCAATAAGGGCATGCATGTTTCTTGGCTCCTTCGGATTCCCTTTTAACGACAACATTCGCTTCACCCTCGAGTTCTTTTTTAATATCTTTTTGATCTAAGCTAGCTAAAGAGTCATTTACTGTATCAGGGTCTAAAATTTGTGAAAGATTATCTTTGTTCAAAACAGATTCATCTTTCTGTTTAGCATCACTTTTGCTTGAAGAGGATTTACTTTCACTAGCATCCAATAGCTGATCATTTTGTTCTCGTCTAAATGCTCGTAAGTGAGAGACAGAGGTTGGAGTTGCTTCAAGTTGGATTGTTGATGAACATTCATCTTTTGAAGGTTCAGAGAGATCAAGTTCATTAGAGCTCTTTTTCTTCCCTTTCCTGCCTAAAGATAGTTTTGACTTCGTTTTCGGTACACTCTCATTTTCATCCGATGCATCAGCTTTGGATTTTGTTCCCTTATGCAAGTCTGTTGGTGTTTTAGTATTTTTAGAGTAAGTTTTAGAAACTTTATGAAGTAATGAAACTTCGCTTTCGAAACTTTTTTGAGCCTTTATTGGTGAAGGAACTGAAGCCATCACAACGGGCAAAGTTTTTGTTTCTTCTTTTTCATTTCGTTTAGGATAAATACCACTAAGGTTATCTACTTCTTTCTCTGCAATTTTTCCTACAGAACTTGAATCATTGAGATTTTTATTATCTCTCCTGGTACCACTAACGCCGGATTTGGGTGTTTCTTTATTGACCAGAGAAACATCTAACGAAGTTAAGCTATCATCCAAATTTACCGGTGTCGACATATGGGGAATAGAAAGAGTTGAAACTGTCTTTGCTAATTCGTTAATAGAAAAATTAGTGACACTTGGAATCTTTTTATTAAAACTAGCTCCACTAACATTTTTGATTAGGGAATCATGCACACTGAAATTGTCAGGCACATTGTTTGTAGTGTTGTTTTGGTTTAAATTTGGGAAATTGGAAGCGATGCATAATTGCTCGTTGACAGGTTGTTCTGTGGTTTTCATAGTTTCAGTGGGAAACAAAGGAAGAGGTTGAGAGACACCAAGTTTTCCACCTTCAGGCATGATTACTTTAAAGTTCAAGCTACCACTCAAACTGGTTTTAGAAATTTTGCCATCTTTTTCTTCAGTTGGGTCAGAAATTGAGAACTTGTCATCATCCATACATGACTGTTCATCGAAATTCTCTAAATTCTGCGTCACAGAGCTGACCAGCACTTCAAGGGTTGGACTATCTCTATCCTGCGAACTGGCAACTTCTGAATTGAGGCATTCATTTGAGAGAAACAAAACTGGAGCTTGTAGAACAGGAAGGGCTTCAGACTTGTTCTCAGCAGCTTGAATCGTTTTAAAGGAGTTAGTAGTAGTAAGACTGCATAACGATTTTGGGGAATTACATGAAATTTGATTAACCAAAGGAGCTTTTAGTTGAGCCGGTACTTCACCTGTGATGTTAATAGGTAGATTTGTTAAGGAATCTATAGATTTTATGCCAAGCTCAGAACTAAGAGCAGAAATTTCAGTCTTTTTCTTAGAGGCAGATTTAGTAACTGTAGTTTCAGTCTTTTCAATGACTTCAGCATTATTAGGCAATATTCTAGACTCTTTGTTCGTTGCAGAATTATTTATCACAGTTTGAGCCTTTTTATTCGTTTCAGAATTACTGACTTGAATCACCGACTTGTTATTAACTTCTAAATTACTAACTGGAGTGCCACACTTTTTATTAACATCAGAATTACTATACTGAATCTGTGAATTCTTACTAGTTTCAGAATTAAACACAGTTGCTTCAGAAATAGCTACAGTGCTTTCAGTTTTTTTACTGCTTTCTGAATTACTAATAAGGGGTTTCGTTTTCTTAATATCATTGCTACTAAATGTAACTTCGGTTTCAGACTTAGTGCCCGTATTACAAACAACTACTTTATCAGTTTCTGAATTGGTTAAGTTGTTCATCTTACTTGAATCATGTGACTGATTTGAAACCCTTGCATCAGTCACGGTTTCAGCATTCAATACACTGTCATTACTTTTGCTGTCCAAAGAAAATAATTGCTTGGCAATTGACTGTGACAGGCCTTTAATTTTGTTATTAATTGTCTCTTTAAGGTTATTATCAGTGTTTTTGACAGGGAGGATGACATCCAATTTACTTTGAACTATCTTTGACGGAGTTAGTTTTTTGCGACTTCTTTTAGAAACACTTAGAATATTGTCATCCGATTGCATGCACTTCGGTTCGTTAGACTCTGAAATATTTGAATCTGAAGAATTAGACTTGCCAGCAGATGCAGTAAGAATGGAAATGTTTTCATGAGAATCCAAATCACAACTACGTTTAGGATCTGTACATCTTGTAATGTTAATTAACTGAGTATTTGCCAGGGTTTCTTTTTTAGAAGAGAGGTTGTTAGCTTGTAGAGAAGGTTGGATCTTATTCAAGCAAACTGGATTATCAATTTTATAATTTTCAGTATTTCTGGAAGAAGCAGCTTTGTTAACTTCCAATGCAGAATCAAATATTTGAGGTTTGCTTTTTGTTATCTTTTTAAGAGCCTCATCTAGTGATTTCTTACTTTTCTTCATAAAGTTACTGTTACTTTTAGTTTGGTCTCTCTCTTTCTCTATTTCAGGGCTATTGCTAATACGTGAAACAACTATGCTTGAATTTTGTTCTAAATAAGTGGGATTAGACTGCATACTGATGCTTTTAACATTCTTACTTGGAGGGACAAGAATTTTTTTCTTCCCTTCCTCTAGTATTATACCTTTTATAACATTCAATTTATCTCCTGTTGTGTCTATTACTTTTTCATTTGTAACAATTTTGTTAGCTTTGTTTTGTCCATCAGTCAAATCACTATCTAATTTTGGTTTTACACCTGATACGTTTTTATTAGCTGTTATTTTTTCACAGGACAGATCTTTGCCAGGACAAATATTTTTCTCTCTTACATCTTTCTTGGCTATAATTTTTACAATTGTTGAGATTTTGCTATTGCTTATCTTTCCTTTGCTATCCCTTATCATCTTATCTTTATTTCTTACAATCTTTGAATCCTTATTAATTCCTGAGTTTTCGATAGCAACTTCTGTTACTTCTTTATTTGTCAACCTATCAATAGTCTCTTTCAATGCATCAATTGGAGACTTAGTTAAGTCCTTACTTACAGTGGATAGCAGTCTTGTATGCTTGTCAGGTGTAGCAGACAATACAGAAGACTTCTTAGAAATTGATAAATCCATAGCAGACTCAAAATTGGTACTATCAACTAGTTTAGAAACATGACAAGGCTGCGGAGATGACATATTTACCTTCAAGTCACCTGAATATTTAGAACTGATATTAGCAGGATGTTTGTTTTGTAAGTTGCCATTCTGAGTCCGTTGCTCTTTACTTAGCGCTGTACTATGAAATGAAGGCGTCAAATCTCGTTTGCAATGTTCTTTTTGTCTTAGATTTAAATCGGCGTTTCCCCGAAAACCAAAGTCATTAAATTCGGTTAACCTCTGTACTTTTTTCAACTTATCAGCTGAGCATTGATGGTTTTTCAACTGGGCTTGAGAAGGGAACTTTTTATTGCATGCAGAGCAGGGTGGTGTGGTTTCTTTCACAGATGCAAAAGGACCCTTACTTGATTTACCATTTTTAAAATTGAAATAATTTTTATCGTATTTAAACTTAGCTTTTTGAATACGAAAATCTTTATAACGTTTCCTTTCTCCTGATGGCAGCTGCTTAATTGTCAGATCAAGTCTATGCTTCATGGTATTCTTGATTCTTTTTCGTCGCATACGTTTTCTGAAATGTTTCTTCACAAAGTAAGATTCGTTGCCACCGCATCTAAGAATATGCTCATGCAAAAAGGATGTGCTGATTATCGTTTTGCATTTGGTACATTTAGAACTTGCTTGAGTTTTGAGCATTAAAGGGGAACTCTGAGAATCAGACGTTAATATTCCGTGAGGAGTAGGATTCACTTTTCGAGACATATCATAAGGGATGATGGGAGGTTTATTTTTGTCACTTTCTATTTTTACTAAAATAGATTGTGTATCAATTAATGGATGGTTGTTATAACAGTGTTCATCGAAGTCACAATCTGAATTAAATGGTTCTTTGCAGACTAAACACACATACACGAATAACTTTTTATTGTCAATCCATTTCTTCCGCTCTTCAACATTTCGTTTTTGAGCTTCTTTGATTTTAACTAAACATATGTGGCAGAAACACCTGGTATCAGATTGCTTGGAAAAGTACATATCATTGTTCAGAACATTCAATCTGAACTCATTTTTGAACTCAGAGAGACTTACAGAATTTTCAGAGATTAATGTTTTGTTTGGACAATCATCAACCTTATTCAAACCAGTAGCGATAAAAATTTCTGGAGGTCTAACTTTTTCTGGAGTTTTAGAAGTCACAATGCTGCTAGAACATGGTTTCCCAAACTGGTCACAAAAATTTAAATTCCAGGATTCGGGATCAGAGAGAATTCTCTTATTGCACGAACTGTCTTCACTTAAACGGAGTTGACTAATTGTGCCATCAACATAATGAAGCAGATTGTCAGCAATATTATGTGAAACATTCATATAAAAACGAAGTTGCTCTTCTTCGATCTCTTTTTTGGTTGGCTTTTTGGACAATGTTTTCACTTTTATTGTTTTTTTCACTTTTCTTTTATAAGTTGTACGCTTTTTGTGAGCTATGTTTTTGTGTCTCAACATAGCTCTCACATCTGGGAATGCCTTTTTGCACAAATTACAAACACAGGATGACTGGCAGTTTTGAGATGGCTTAACAACAAAGCTCTTTGTTTCTGCATTATTTTTAATTTCTGGTACCGAACTTTTGGGTACTACAACGTTAACTTGAGATTCTTTCAGGTGGTTTTGAAGACTTTTCGTTTTAGGACTTAATTTAACAGGAGAAGCAGTTTTGGACACTAATTCTTTCTTCTCGCCATGTCTTTCTACCATGTGAGCTTGTAGTAAAGATTTTGTTGCATATATTTTTGCAATTCCATATTTAGGACACTTATCACATCTATAATATAAATCCATATGTAATTTTCGTATATGAATGTTCAAATCTTTTTTTGCTTGAGATGAAAACTCACAGTGTTTGCACTTAAAACTCTGAGAACCATCGTGCAAGTTTTCGTGTCTCTTCCTATTGGCAATATTAGAAAACTCTTTATTGCAGTACTTACAAAATTTACCGTTTCCGTGTATACTAAGATGATATTCATAGTCCGCGGAGGATTGGAAAGTTACTTTGCATTTTTTGCAGTGGTTCGCCACATCTTCGTTAATGTGGGAACAAACTTTGACGTGATCGCACAGTTTTGCTTTTGTTTCAAATATTTCTTTACAAATCTTACATATGAATTCCTCTTTCTTTGGATGAAAGACAGTAGCGTAGTGGTTCTTCAACTCAGTTTCCAGGTCATATTTGACCTTGTGAAACGAGCATTTATAAAGACCAGGTTTTCCATCATTGTTTTCAAAGCTACTTCCACTGGTTTTAAGTCTCTTACGGTTTGGAGGGACGGCGACATCTTTCTTTTTCTCCCTGCGATCACCGTTAACGTTTATTTTACAGTTGGCTAAATCAGCTTCCGATATATATTCTGCATTTATGTGAATTCGAAGATAGTGACGTTTGAGACTAAACATGTACTTGTAGAGTTTCTCACAGATGTTGCACTTAAAAGGTTTTTCTCCTTTTCCATCGCACCATCGAGATCTGTTCATAGGAAATTTGAAATAGTCTCTTTTTTGTACATTTGCACCTTGAAGTTGCCTTTTAAGACCATTTTTCGAATATTTTTTGCTTTCAAGTTTATTATTTACAACAACAGGTTCCTGAGATGAACCAGGGATACCTGAGATGTTAGATTTCACGCTGGTCTTGCTTGTGATTGTTAAATTTGATTTTTGATATTTCTTTGATGTCTTTCCTAATTTTTGGGCTTTGTCAGTAGTTGACTTCTGGGACGATTTAGCGTTCAAATTAGCAGTTTTTCCCTCCGCGGAAGAATCGAGAATATTTGGAGAAATTGGGGGTGAATTCACTTTAATTCCCAGAGATTCATTAGTTTCCACGAATCCATTAGGAATAAAAAAAGCTTCATTTTGACATTTCTCCTTGTAAGATGTGGTGATAACATCTTTCAATTCATCTGGAGCAGGAGCAGGCTTTATAACCACATCCATGTTTAAATTCTAAAAAAGAAAAGAAAAATTATTAGCTATAAATGTATATTCCCCCAAATATAGCAAAACAATATAGCAGTTTAATTTCAGATTTGAAAAAAAAATGAAAGAAGATTATTAAAATTCCGATTAATTAAATGCAAACAGCTATAACTCGTATATAAGCTCGTAACTCAAAAAATAGTAAAAACACAAACGATGTTTGACATATAGAGCATGTCATCATGCCAGCATGATATACATTTTACAATAAGGCTAGATAGAAACTCAAAACCTAAAAATCGCTTACATAAATTATTTAATTAGTCAAAAACTATTAAAGCAAATAAAAACGCCGATATAAAATCAGAAATTACATTAGTTATATACTGGCTGTTAAAATGTAAGAAATTTGAGTAAAACAGAAGCAGTTAACAAAGATAAGAATAAAACGCTTAGGGTAGGGGTGCACAGCTTGCAGCCCGCCAACTCTCGATGTGCGGCCCGCGGAAGCAACCTGAACAAATGGGAAAAAAAATTAATAATAATAATAATCCAATTTCTTTTAAATACATCACTTTTTGACGTGCTTTATTTATGCCTATTTTATCGTAAATATAAAGGGATTTAAATAGTTTTTCGGTAGTTAATAATACGCTTTTCCCCGTGATTTAAAAAATCCAGCTATTTTCATTACTACGCAAGCTAGATTTGAATCGCGCATTAAGAAAAATCCCTTCTTACGTGCTTTATGCCAATTTTCACAAAAATAGTTTCTTCGAACATTTTTTTCTTCTTTTGGTCGTTAATTCTTCTTGAAATTTAAAATTCACACATCGTGATTCGCACCCCCTTAATCTAAAATCATCCATCGCAATTCGAATACACTTGATTCACAGATCACGATTCGTATTTCGGCGATTAAAAAATCATACGTTGTTACTCTTCTCGCAATTAAAAAATTATACACCGCGATTCATATTCACGTGATTTAAAAACCACATATCGCGATTCATATTCACACGTTTTAAAAATCATACATTGTGAATCTTCTCGCAATTTAAAAATCACGCATCTCGATTCGTATTCATGCGATTTAAGAACCACACATAGCAATTCGTATTCAAGTGATTTAAAAATAACACATCGTTATTCGTATTCACGCGATTTAAAAATCAGGAAAGGAAGAGCGCCATCTGGAAAAAATTCTCAAACTAATTAAGTTATTTGTCCTAAGTTTAATACTGCCCACAACAACAGCTTCTGTCGAAAGACTGTTTTCCAAAATGAACTGGGCATGTTCGAAATTAAGGAACAGTCTTTAAATAAAATCATTAAATTTTCATTTAATTGCCCGAAAAAGCTATCACATGATCAAGTAGATAAGACTATCACAAAATTTAAAAATTTTGCAATTTGCAGGATAACCATTAAGAAATTTTTTAAACCATTTTCTACCTACGTAGGCCATTTTATATCATTCATGATATGCTGGGAAATGATTTGTATGTCATTAAATTTTAACTGTAAAAAAATGGAATCACGATAAATATCATAATGTAATTTATATTTTAATTCTAAATAGAGTTATGTTAAAAAAGTATTGATCATAGAGTTTTTAACAAGTTTCTTTTGATTATTAAGGAAAATAATTCCTTCAAAATTAATATTTTCTTTCTTTTTCCTTCCTCTCTCAGCCCCTGCCTCTTATAATTTATTTAAAATAAATGTTTAAAAGCTGAAGTATATTCCTTACTAAATGTTGAATAGAATATCATTTTTGTATTATGTAATGTGGTAAAAAAACAAGAATTTTCCCATTGTTTTCAATTATTTCAATTATCTAAATTTTTTTCTGATCAATTGATCCTGATTCAGTTTTATTTTCTAAGTAATCAGTTTTGCAGTTTCTAATTTTACACATTTAAAAGTATTTTAATTTTATGCCAATATATTACAAGGTTAACTAATAAACAGAATTTAATGCTTAGAGCACAATGATGTTCACATAACAATTACTTTTTCCTACAATTACAACCTACAAAAAATACATCGTTATTTTTTTAAAAAGTTCATATACTTTCTCAATGATCTACTAATATCATCAAATTTCTCAAAAGAAACATCAAAATTAGTTTCCAAACTTCGCACAATTAACAAACTATTGCAGAAAAACTATTATTTAAAAGTTATGCTAATAAATTCCAAGTATAGGCTGGTTTTCTGTGTAGGTTAGACATCTAATTAGTTTGAACCGATTTTTGAACCATCTTAGGAGTTAAACTATAAAGAAAACTCTGCAGTTACATTTTCTATGAAAAGTTATTAGTTAGTTTAGTTTGAGGTTATTTCTATGAAAAGTTAAATTAGCTTTTAAATTTTGTTCCACTTACAAATTATTGCTGCAAAAACATTAGAAGCTCAAAAAGTAATTCATTGGGCTTTACTATTTAAAACAAATGGTCCGAAATGAACCCTGCGCTTGACAAGTCGGCTGAATTTTTGCAGACTCTGATGTGCTTGGCAAGCTGCGGGTCGTCACGTTGCTCCGAAACCAAGTCAGTCACAGCAGCAAGGGACTCAACTCCTGAAATGTTTTCGTCAGGAACAGGATTTCATGATAGGCAATCTGCATCAGCATGCTTCCTTCCACTTTTATAAATAATAGAGACGTCGTATTCTTGAAGCCTCAAAGCCCATCTTGCTAGTCGACCAGATGGATCTCGTAAATTGGCTAACCAACATAGAGAGTGGTGATCAGTAATAATTTTGAAGAACTTCCCAAAGAGGTATGGGCGGAATTTCCCTATTGCCCATATAGCTGCCAGACATTCACGTTCAGTGGTCGAATAATTTCTCTCGGCTTTAGATAGGGTCCTCGAAGCATATGCGATGACTCTTTCTTCTTCGTCTTGTTGCTGGACCAGCACGGCTCCTATACCATATCCACTGGCGTCGGTATGCAGTTCGGTGGGTGCGTTTTCATCGAATAATGCCAATACAGGTTGTGAAGTCAGCGCCGATTTGAGGTCATTAAATGCATCTATGTGGGCCTGATCCCAGCAGAATCTTGAGTCTCCCTTTAAAAGTTCTTGAAGGGGTTTAGCACGGAAACAAAATTTTGGGATGAATCGTCTGTAGTAAGAACACAGACCCAGAAAACTTCTGACATCATGCACAGTCTTCGGTGTAGGGAAATTTTGTACAGCTGTGACTTTATCTGGATCAGGTTTTACTCCTCGTCCGGATACAAGATGCCCAAGTATTTTGATTTCGTTAGCGCCAAATTGGCACTTTTTGGGATTTAAAGTAAGTCCGGCTTCTTGAATGCAGGATAGCACGCAGCGTAACCGCCGAAGGTGTTCGGGAAATGTGTGCGAATACACAACTATATCGTCTAAATAACAAAGGCACATTTTCCATTTTAGGTGACGTAATAAGTTATCCATAGTTCTCTCGAACGTTGCAGGAGCATTACATAATCCGAAAGGCATTACCTGGAATTCATATAGCCCTTCACTAGTGACGAACGCTGTTTTTTCTCGATCAGCCTCGTCCACTTCTATTTGCAAATAACCAGAGTGCAGATCCATCGATGTAAAGTATTGGGCCCCTTTAAGACAGTCTAGAGTATCGTCTATTCTGGGCAAACGATAAACGTCTTTTTTGGTGACCTTGTTGAGGCGACGATAATCAACGCAAAATCGCCAGCTTCCATCTTTCTTACAAACTAGCACAACCGGAGACGACCACGGACTCTCTGATGGTCGAATGATGTCCCGTTTCAGCATTTTGTCAACTTCGTCATTGATTATGCGTCGCTCTGTAGGATATACTCGATGGCTCTAGATACTCTGTAAGGCATATTTTTTCAGTTCTCCACAACAGGAAAAAAAAAAAACGTGGGTAACAATTAACGTTGGAATATAAAAAAAAATAATAATAAAATACACTGATCAGAAATGATTTAAAAAACGGTGCGATTTCGCGAAAGCTTAAACATATTCAAATAATATGCAAGGAATGAAATAAAAACATGGAATAAATTAAATGAAAAACAATGCTTTCACTGCAATTTGATGGACAAGAGAAAAAAAAAACTACTACATCATTTTCTAAAAAGCGATCGGTCATAATAAGGTCGACGCATAATTGCCGAGTTTCTTTTCCAAAGGATGACCAAACGACTGAAGCAAGATTATAAGTCAGAAAAGGGGTGTGATTCGTAGATGTTCTCTAAATTTTATCGTATGCTTGTGATTTTTAAGAATTATTAAGTTATCATTATTAAATAAAATAAAAAGATGAAATAAGCATTCCAAAACGTTTAGGCAAGATTTGAAGCGCATACCCAAAACTTATACAAGCAAAAATTATTGAATAACCTCGAATTTATATGACGAAGTTCACAACTTATCTATACATAATAATAAACGCGCCTGTGTGTGTGTCTGTCTGTAATCACAATATATCGCCCCAGAAGCCTCGCCCAGGCACGAAACTCGGCACATAATTGTGTTTTGACATAATGAAGAAGTATTTTTTTTCTTTTTCAAAAATTTGGATTAGTTCTTTAGTTATCAGTCATTTTGTAAGAAAATCTATGCTTTTTCGTCTTCCATATTCGAAAAACTATTAAAAAATGCACATATTTTTCTCCACTCTTATAAAGGTATGCTAATGCGAACATTACAATTGAAATATTAATTTTCGACAACTTGAACCAATAATATACGAAGGAATTAATAATTTAATTGTAAGGTTCGCATTAGTTTACATTTATCAAAGTGGAGAAAAGTTTAACTTGGGTATTAAAAATGTGGCAACATATTCGATGCGTAAATAGAACGCTTCGCTTTGATATATTTGTCGCTGTTCATAATTGGGTACAACATAAAAAAAACTCAATTACTTCCACTTAGTAGGAATAACATTTACCATGACGCAATGCTAAATTCTATGCCACTATCCACCAGAAACTCTGAATNTTTTTTGAAAGTTAACTTAGAAATAACAAACCAAACGATGTT